TTAAAGGACACCAGGTAGCAAAGGGAATTGACCAGGAATAGCACCTGAAATTCCACTACCAAGTTGGTTCCAGAGGATGCCACTGGCACCCCGGAAAGGTCCTGGTCCCTGTGGTTTGCACAGCAGACAAGGCCAGACGTTGCGGAGCTGCTGGTTGCCGTTTTTGTAAAGCTGCTTTGGAAGACCAGACATGGTCACAGCCACCTCCATCACCAGAATGGGGGGGGGTTCCCTTCTCCAACGTGCTGCTTGAGGCCCGGGTGCTCCACGGGCGAGGGACACCTACCACAGCCAACCTGCAAAGGAGCATGAAAAAGTGAGTATCTGGCATTCTGCATTTCTGTAAAAGGAGGCAGACTTTCTGCTTCATACAGAGTGGGGAGGGGTCCCCAGACATAAGGAGAGTTCAGCTGCTGGGAGTCAAAAAGAAGGACAGACAGCCCCACTGAGGTCACAGGCCTCTCTCTATCTGGTTGCCAAAGATCTTCCACAGCTGTTGTGCTTAATGTCAACATTTTTCTCAGTAATGAGCTATACAAGTGCAGCTCCAAACACCTTTTCCTCCAATCCGACTTCTGCCCTGAGCTTCCACTTAGGATTCACTTTCCCCCGTCCGTAATCTACAGGGAGAATGCATCGAGGGTTCTGGTCCCCACGACAGTTGTATTTCTCTGTGTAAATAAATAACTGGGGCTGGGCATGGTGGCTCACACATGTAATTCGAGTGCTTTGGGAGGCTGCAGTTGGGGGAATCATTCGAGGTCAGGAGTTCGAAACCAGCCTGGGAAACACAGGAGTCCCCAGCTCCACAAAAAATACAAGCTGCAGTGAGCTATGATTGCACCACTGCACTCCAGCCTGGGCCACAGAGTCAAACTCTGTCTCAAAAAACAAAAATAAGAAACATGACATACTTGATATTTTGGGTTTAGAAATTGGTCTCTTGTGAGGCTACAGCCTATGAGGCAATGTTCCCAGGCCCAGGTTCTTCTGAGCTGCCAGCCATTTAGGTTCCCTTTTACCAAGGCTGGTTCCTGTGCGGATCCCGGCTGGCACCACCGTGACCATGAGCCGTTGGTCCCTTTGTTCATGCAACTGCAGGCTCTTCCTTAGTTACCATGCAGCAGAAGCAGAAATCAGAACGTGCAGACTGTGGATTCACTCACTGAAAGGTTTAAAATCCATTAAGGGGTTTATTGAAACATCAACCTTCACTTTAAAAAAATGAAATGTTCAGTTGGGACTCCGGGAAATTCCAGCACCCATGGCTCCTCGGTGCTACCGTGCTGAATGTTGGGCGCCTCCCAGCTCTGCACCATGGGATGGACGAACGAATGAATGAGTGAATAAGTGGATGAAGAGCCTGCCCTCCTAGCCCGAGACAGGGTTCCAACAGTCTGAGTGAGGAGAGGATTAAGGGGTAAATGAAACTTTTGAGCACAAGATGATTGCTCCTTTGCCGGGGCTAGGGCTGGGAGGCTAATCCAGGTAGGGGATGGATGGGATGATTTCCTGGTCCGTTTCTGGGAATTTTTTCTGAAGATGTCCAGAGATTTAAGACTGGAGTCAAACAAGGGGCACAGACACAGAATTGATTAAAGCAGCAGGCAGCGGGACTCTCCTGTCCCCTGCGTGCATTGCTTTCAAAGGCCTAACAAAGGCATCACATTATTTTTTCTTTATGAATGAAGAGAAAGGAAGGACATTTGAAAACTCCTTCTTCTTTTTTTTTTTTTTTTCAAATTTTGTGCCTTCTAACAAAGAAAGGATACAAGTATTTGTACTGTAGAGCTAGCTGTCCATTTGATTACTATACCCAGGGCAACCAATTTATATTATTCCTGAGCAAGATCTTTAGAGATTAACTTTCCATCCCATAGTTCATTAATCTCTGCCATCCAGGGTTCGGGTGAGTACGTTTGCTATGCTGGAGAATGTTTTTAAACTCCAAATTTATTCAAGCAGTTTCTTCTGACGGTTGCATTATTTCAAACTCGTCTGTTTCACTCCTGTTCCAGGTCTCCTTCTCTCCATCCCACCAGGCCAGCGTTTCTCCTCCGGGCAGCTACCAGCGAGGAGGGCCCACGGACTCAAAGACCCCACTGGAATCCCTGCAGGAGCCCCGCAGCATGAAGAGGGGCCGTGGGATGAGTGAGCCTGCACCCTGGAATGCCAGGCTTGTGCTGTTCTGTGACAACAGAGGGCAAGGGAGAGGGGAGAGGAAGGAGAGGGGCAGGGAGGCCACAAGGGGACGGCGGGAGGGAGAGAGAATGGAGGGGAGGTGGGCCGTGGCCAGCTGCGGGGCTCAGGAGGAGCCACAGGGCTGCCAGCATGTTTCTCTGTTCTAGAACTGGCCTGAAAAGGAAGTTACCTGGGGGTGGGGTCGGGAGAAGCTGGGAAGGGCTGGCAGCTGAGTGGGTCTTGGACACGGCCCTCGGCTCCTACCTTCGCCTCCCTCTGCGGGGAGAAGCTGCAGGGCGGCCAAGCGGTCCCGCTAGGGGCCGAATTCACTCCCCACTCATCAAGGCCTGGGTTGGAGGGACCACTGGAACAGTGCAAGAGGAGGAGCTGGAGGTGAGGGGCAGAGGGCCTGGCAGGTGGCCCAGAGCAGCAAGCAGGTGCTCCAAGAGAATGTCCTCATACCCTTCTGCTGGGGAGAGGGGCCTGGCTCCCTAGCACTCCCAGGCAAGGGCCATCTTCCTGTCCCTGGAGACCCTCTTGTTCTGGCCTAGGAAACTGCCCTCCCAGTGGTGGCCAGAAGTTGGCTTTTTCTTCCATTTCTACTTCCTTGCCGAAGCCACCGTCTCCACTGTCTGGTGTTCGCTGAACCAGGCATCCTGCTTTTGCTACGCTATCCCTGGGTTCTGGAGCAGCAGGAGTGTGACCCCGAGGCAGAAGGGAAGGCCTTCATGACCTTCAGCAAATCACACTTGCGCTGGGGACGCGGCTATCCTTCTGTAAAATGAGGGGAGTGGACCTCATCATCTCTGATTCCTTCCAGCTTTAGACTCTGTTTCTGTGGTGATGTTGGGGATTGCGCAGACCTAGCTTCCTTTATTTACAAGATGTGGAGACTAAGAAACCCGTAGAAGTGTGAAATATTGAGTATTAAGAGCACTCCCTCTCTGTCTTTTCTGGGATATACACTGTTACCCACCCTTCCAAGGGAGAAAGTGCCCTGGTTGAGGGAGCAGCGCCCATGTGCAGACACATCCCAGCCTGGGACCCAGGGCTGCCCGTGCCCATCCCCCCACAGCCCTGCTGCTCCCTCCTGCCTCGACTCCCTCCAGGGCTGTTGAGAGGAAGAAACAGATGCTCCATCTCCAGATGCCCTGCCCACAGGAAGGCCCAGGCAGATACTTGGGGACTATCCTCTGTCCCGTTCAATCCACCTGGTGGGTCTGGCGACCATGACACGGCCCTGCTTTCCAGGGAGTGGTCACTGTGTCTGCACTGTGCCATTCTCTTGCGATAGGAGCAGGCGTGGTGCTATGGAGGCCTCCCAGGGCTTCCTGCAAAAGCACTGATCACTGGAGGAAGGGCCAGGGCAGTGGCAGGACAGGGACAGTGGGCCCGCCATGGAGTACAGAGCAGTGGGCCCCGCAGGAGAGGCAGGCAGGAGCAGAAGTAAGGCACTCAGGAGCAAGGCAGCCCTCTCTCCATAGCCCGACAAGGGATTTTATGGAATACTTGATAAAAAAAAATTATCAATGAATATGATGGATGCTCCCCAGCAGGGGCGGAAGAGTCCCCCCTTTGGGGTCTAGGAAGCAAAAAGCTGGGGTCCTGGCCTGAGTCTGAGCAGAGGGCAGTTTTGAACATGGGGGGCCACAGGGCAAAAGGAGGGTGGGAGGCAGGAGGAGGGTCGGATCACACGCACACGAATCACTGTGCTTTGGAGTATGTGGCCCCACTGAGGCGGACAAGGATGAGTGTGAGACCCAAGGCAGCCCTTTTGGGGTGGGAGGGGCTGAGGCCCAGAGGTGGGGAGGATGTGTCCTTAACAGGTGTGGCCAGACAGAGCAGAGCCCACCCCTCCTTCAGAAGACCTGGAAGAAGCAATGGGAGGGAGAAGCAGAGTCACAGAGGAAGGGCAGAGTGAGGGCCAGGAGACCGGGGTGGCTGTGGGCAGGCCTCCCCGCCCCCACTGCTTTCCCAGCAAGCTGTCTCCAGGAGGTCGGCCCACCCACTGGGCCCAAAGCCCATCCCCCAGGTGGCCCTCCCCTCTTGCAGCTGCCACAGTTTCTGCAGGGCTGCTTGGTCAGACTCTTTAGAGCACAAGCAGGAGAACTAGGAAGGCCCTCCAAATGAAGGAGACGCAGGCACCGTGGTTGCCCAGGGCCCCTTTCCATCCAACCCGTGCTCCATCGTGCTCCATCCGGCCACACCTCCCAAGGTCAGCCCTCCCCAGCGCCCCCTGGAACCCAGCAGGATCAAGGATAGAGCCTGTCGCCCTGGGCTTGCTGCTGTGCAGCTCTGGGTACGGGTTAAAGATGAAGCTGAAGTGAAGGTATGCGCGCTCAGGGTTCAAGGGCTTCTTATCAGTAATAATTCCCTACATCTGTAAAATCTCACACCGGACATACGCTGCTTTTTACTTCATTGCGTGGCAGGCCAGGTTTCACTAACGCAGACCTCCATCACAACTGTTTCAGTACTGCCAGAGTGGTTAAGTCAAATATTAAAAGCTAAAAAGGCCAGTGCCTTTATACAAAGGCTGGGATGTAATAAAGGCCCATCAGGAGTTTTGCCGAGGCCTTTCCTGGGCCTTAAAGCATGACGAAATATCAAAGGAATCTTAACGGGACCCATTTAGGATTAAACAAGTTTTACTGGGGATCTGAAGAAACCTCCCACGCCTCCACAGACAAGTTTATTGGGGGTCTGAAGGAACTGCCCAAACCTCCAATGATTTAGCAAGGGACAAAATAAGGTTAATCACCCCATCACCTGGACCCATGTAGATTAAGTAAATTTACTGAGGTTCCGGAAAAAAGATCTTCAGGACTCAGACCTCAGCTATAGATTAAAAGAAGTTAATCACTTATGTCTTTGGATGAAGGCACACTTACACATAGACGTATAGCTTAGAAGGTATACAAGCTCTGGAAAACTTTGTAATTTGGAGTTGGTCTGGCAATTAATTTCCAGGACTTCTCCCTCTAACCGGCTCTAGAAATAAACACCTCTTCCTCCTCAGTTCATCTGCATCTCGTTATTGGGCCATGAGAAATAGCAGCTCGGCCCTCAGTTTGGTCCAGGAAAAATCTCAGCAGGCCTTGCCATCAACGCGGGGCTGTTGACAAGGTAAGAAATTTATCTCCATTTTACAGGTGGGGAAGGTTTGAAGACGGTAGGAGGCTTGGAGACCACAGCTCCAGTGGCGAGGTGGTGGGCAGCGGGCTGCAGTGCAGAAAACCTGGGGCACCATCGTTGCCCTCAACCCACTCTTCTCCAGACCTTCGTCGGTCTTTTTTTTGCTCCCTGCACACCCAGAACTGGAGCATTTAAGAGACGGGTTGCTCTTCATGTGTTCTGAAGGCACTGCTCTCAGGCATCAGCTAAGCCAACCGAGTGATTCCCAGGATGCCTAGCATGGGCCATAGACGCGCAGAGCCGCAGTGAGGACAGAGGGAACCGCGTGGCCCCTTCCTGACAATTCTTTCATCTGCACACTGTACCATCAACTCATTTTCCGCACGGAATGAAGATAAATCACTCTGCTCCGGAAAACTACATTTAGCATCGCCTTCTTTTTGTGGGGCAGGGAAGTTTTCATCGACAAAGCGTTTGTATTGCAGATGGCTCGCCATATGCCACGTTCCTGCACGTTATCACCTTGTAAGCAGATTCTGTCAGGTTTTAGGAGTAAAAGCTTAATTAACAAGTGGTGTGTACAATTATGTACTTAATTATCTACTGATTTTATTTCTTTGTTATTTCTTGTTTTTCAAAAGTTTGGTAACAATTACAGGCAACTGTTCCCTAATGAAATTTCTCTCTGCATCTCTTTTTTTTGTGTTTGTGTTTTTTTTTTTTTTTTGCCATTTGTATGCTGAGAGGGGGGCCTTCTCTTTTCTCCCCTCATCCACCACTTAGAACAGATAGATGCAGCATAGACCCACTGATCTGAATCTCTGAGGGGTGGCACATGCATGCGTGCGTGCGTGCGTGTGTATGTGTATTAAAAGAGTTTCCTGTGAAGTTGGTCTGCAGTCCTGGTTAGAAACACAGACCTGGGCCTCCATGTTGCTGATGGGACTGTCAGGGACTCTCATTCTTCCTCCATCCCCCTCTGCTGGCCCATCCTGGAGGCCAGTGGGGTTGGCTGGACTAGGCTGCTGAGGAGGACAGGAGGCACTGGGTGGCCAAGGGACAGCCCTACGGCACAGTGAGGGCAGAGGCAGCTTTGGGGAGCTGAGCACGGAAAGCAGGAAGAATTGTAATGGAAGCACAAGCAGCAGCAACTTGGAGGGAACTCACTGGGCTAAAGCCATATGCGGAACTGGGGGCTTAGAACCAAGTGAGTGGATTCACTTGAGAAGCACTTCTGCTCGCATCCATCTGAGCTGAGGAACTCCTGGAAGCCTGTGCCTCCAGCGCAGCCATCTTTCATACACATCCGTGCAAGAGGGTGTCCTGTTTTAGGGAACCTCCCACCGAGTTGAAAACTCAGTTATCAGCACGTGGTGACAGAAATGGCCCCACAGCTGACAGTGGAAGAGTCTGAACCATCAGAGAGGCAGCCCATCTGGCTCTCCAGAGGGCCGAGGGCTGGTCCTGGGTGTCTCAGCTGGCAGGCTGGGTCCCCTGGGCTCTCGTTCTGAAGCATCCTCCCCACCACACTCACTGGTGTCAGCCGAGACTGGGTGCACTCCAGGAGGGCTGGGAGGGTGGGTTGGGGGAAGAAGATGCAAGGGCAGAAGAATTGCAGAATCAAGAGATCAGGGCTTCCCTTTCTCCAACTGGAAGAAGCAGCTTGAGAGACAATTCCCTGAAATGCAGACAGACACAGGCTGGCCCCAGCAGCACAGACATGAAGCCCCTGCTGCCTGCATGCTTGCCTGGCTCTGCCGTGCCTCCTCTCTGTGCATCTGTGTCCTTATCTGGCAGCGGCTGGGTGAGTTCATCCAGCTCTGCCAGGCTCACCCTCTCCTGTTTCCTAGAGCAGAGTCCACTAGACTCTGAAGGGCCATGCTCTGGGGAAGGGATGGCGGAGGACCCTGTCGGGCCTGTCCTTGCCTAGGGTTTACCCAAGGCCTTGAACAGTGCCTGCCATGTGATGAGGGAGCTCAACAGGCGTCTGTCAAGTTCATGAAAATGTAATAGACACGCCAGTTGCTGCTTTGCCAGGCACATGGCTCCTTCTAAAGACAGGCGCTCTGCCCCACAGGGAGACCCCAGGTCTCTGTCTGTGGCTGGTCCCAGCTGACCTAAGGGTGGCCCATCAAGGCACATCAACCTGAGGTGTGGTCTGGGATAAGGAATGACATAGGGCAAATGGGTTCTGCTTCTCAGAAGGTGGATCTGGGAAGTACTGAGCATGAGGTGATTAGCGTCGGGGGTTGAAGCTAAAAAGATCACCAGAAAGAAAAGGGAGAGGTGAGTAATGAAGGGCTGAGGCAGGTGGAAGTGAGGACGGAGCAGGGAGCAGGCAGGAGCAGCAGTCCTGAGTGGAAAGAGAATCCGGTTCGCTGGGCGGGGACGCCCTCTGCTCCAGCGTCCGCCTGCCCTCAGCATCCTGCATTGCTTACTTTGGCAACCCCTTCCCCGTGCAGAAATCTTTCCCTACAGTCTCAGTTACCTTTGGGCAAGCCCTGAAAAGGCAAGCTTGAAATGACCAAGGCAGGGTGTGGATGCACCTTTCCATAGCCGGGGTACCGAAAGCAGAATCTGACCAACTTCAGAGACCAAACAATAATTTGGGGACATGTGAGGGGACCATTTGTCCAAGCTGGGAATTAGGGGAAAGCTCCAAGCATTACTTGAAGGGCCCCAGCAGGAGAATGGAAAGTTAATTGCCAGGACAACTTCCCCACTGCAGGGTAGAGTTGAGGGGATTGAGAAAATAGGGGGAAGGTGGTAACAGGCAGGGAGCAGAGACTTGGCAAGCCTGAGGAATGAATGGGCACTCCCATTCCTCTGCGCAGGATGAAACGGCATCTTGGCGCTTTTGCTGAACAAGGCAACACTGGGTCTGTCTGACCCGAGGACACTACAACACAGCAGGACCCAAATGGAGCAACCCACCTGGACTTTCACCTGTCAGGGAAAAGCACCTCATTGAGCACATGGCCAGGGAGGCTGATGGGGCTGGAAGGCAGGAACCATACACCTGCCTTCCAGGTGACTAGGAAGGTGAGCTCCTCCACTGACCCTACACCCACTCCAGAGACCCAGACTGTAGGGCCCTCTCCTAAGTGACTTTCAGCCATACACCACACCCTAATCTATTCCGCCCAGGGAGGGAGGAATCCAGACTGCAAGGCTGAAGGCCACCTTCACGGAGCAGCGGTGGTGCTCTAGGACACACCCCTCCCAACCCCTGGCCGGCCGCAGCTCAGGGACACATTGAGTCACACAGTACCCTTCCCTCTTCTGTCCGGAGTTATTCCTCAGAACTGACTTCAGGAGGCCCTGATGGCCGCATGCCCACGCAGTGGAGGCTGCCAGTGGAGTGGAGGACAGGTGGGAAGGTCAGGATGGGGCATTGGTGAGAAGGGCAGTCAGTGATAATTTGGGGACTGCTGGAAAAGGCTTGGGACTGTGCCTTCCATGTAGAAGCAAAGGAGAGGGAGACATGCTCCCCTCCAGAGGCGGAGTCCAAGTACCAGGACCAGGCTGGGGACCCGCCCGTGGAGTCCCAGCTGCTGTCCATGCCAGTGATGGTAGTGTTCCCAGAATGATGTCACACAAGTGCTGAAAGTGGGGAGTGGTGGGGAGGGGAGCCTCATAGCTTGCTTGCTCTCCTGGGTGTTTCTCAGTACTCCTCCCCTCCCCCACACCAGAGATCCGCTCCTCCAGCCTCCACAGCCACCCGGCCCCACCACCCCTGCAGAGCCAGCCTGCCCTCTCCAACTCTCCCTTTTCCCGCCTCTTCCCCAGATCTGCTGCCACCACCTCTTGGGGTCATTGAGCCCCCAGCCCACACCACAGGCTAAGGGAGGCCGCTTGTCATGCTGACATCCATTTCAGGTACCCAAAAGAAAGAAGGGGTTGCAGGGGAGGGGCACAGTCATCTGCACACCAAAAAAAACCAGTTGCTGGCTCTGCTCCTTTCCGGCTCTGCGCTGACCTCTCTATCCAGGCCTCACTCGGGCCACAGCCCAGCTCCATGAAGCCCTGCCTGGCCCTCTCAGGCACAATCAACTGCTCCCTCATCTGACCAGCCCTTATGCCCATCCTCGCTGGCTGGCCACCGCACTACGCTAACTCAAACTGTATCTGTTCCCTGGCCAGGGTGGGGTGTTCCCGGCAGTCTCCTCTAATGAGCCCGACCCCACCGCAGCTCTCTGGGAGGGTTCCTGGGCAGACTGCACCTTGGCTGAGCCAGTAAGTGGAACCCACCCCTTCCCATGCCCTGCTTTGACCCAGATCAAGGATCAGCTCCCGTGAGCTCTTCTCTGAAGAATTTTCGTCCTGTTCATCTCTGTGGTGACATCATGTCCAATAAGCTTCTCTTGCAGAAGATGGGCATGGGGTGGGGTGAGGGCAAGAGGGCCAAAACAGGCTGCGGGAGCCAGGCCTGGGAAGGAGGAGCTGGGGGCCAGGGGCGGGGATGTGGGAAATGGGGGCAGGCCTCGGGATAAGGAAGGGGAAGGCTGGCTTCCTGGCCCCTTGCTGGCCAGACACACTGTCCTGGAGCTCTGAGCAGCTTTAAATCACACCCACCAGGAATTAGTGTTCAGGGAAAAATGAACCCGCAGGTGCTGGGGTTTGGAACCATGCCATGTGAAGAGGCCTCCTTCTAAGACTGCTGAGTCAGGTGACCTTGAGGACATCTCACATGGAGAGGGTGGGGTGCAGTGTGTAAAGCTGTGCCTAATGGATGCCAGCGTGTGGAGGAGGGCCCAATGGGCAGGTGGTGGTCAGGACTGTGAATGGGGGACCCAGCTCCTGGTCATAGGTATGTGCAGGCATCTGCCGTAGGACTCTGGTGGATGGGAGAGGCAGGTCCAGGTGTATTTAAATTTCTTTCTGACCCTGCCTAATTATTTCTCCCAATTACTCTTGCTTTGAGCCTGGCCCAAGGTTGTCCTTTGATCAAGACTTCCATGCTTCCCAATGCTAATCTGCCAATCATAAGCGTCCCGGGTTTCTCTTGCTGCCTGGATGTTAACCATGAGTCCTCTGGGTTAACAGGTGCCAGGGCCCAGTGAGAGTGCTGCGGGAGACCTGCCCAGGGGGCTAGCCGAGCCTTCTGCGATAATTCTGACTGATTCTTCATGGAGTTGACTTGAAATATGATGAGTGGGTCCCGCGTGCTCTTAAAACCTCGGATGTCAGAGCCACAGAAAAGACTCTGGGATTGGCCTTGAGTCCCTCGCTGGAGAACACCAAAGGGTGGAGGCATTAAGTCACTGCTCGTCTACTCAGCGACGGCAGAGTTGAAACGAGGACCCAGGCGTTGCCGCCTCCTTCCCATGCCACAAAAATGAGAACAGGTATTTCCTGACATGCAGTTTGCTAACCTCTTCCCACGTTATGTGTGTGAATGTACTGGGCTACCAGATGGCGGTGAGTACGAAGGAAGGTGATGTCTCATTATGTACCACGTCATGACCAAGCAATGTCTTACCTCCCCACAAAAAGCCAACCGAGGCTTCCTTGCGTGGAAAGACCACAGTGTTGAGGGCAGGGGCTCTGTGAGCAGGTACCTAGAGCTAGAAGCCAAAACAAGGAAACGTTTCAAGGGAGCAAAGCAAGTTGAAGACAAGGAAGCTGCCTGTTTTTGTGTGCCCCGCCCTCCCCTCCCCTCCCCTCCCCTCCCCTCAGCCTGAATCTGCCTTTGGTTAAATGCCTGTTGGGATTTTGCAAAAAGATTTCCCTGGATCACTCCAAATTCCACTGGGTGGAGGATGGGCGGGAGCTCCAGCAGTGAGGAGAGAGTGGCTGGAAGCGCTTTGTGACCTGCTGAGCTGAGACAGGTGAGCCTCTTCGGGACAGCAGATGGGCCCTCTTCATGAGCCTGTCGCTGCCGACCTGTGTGGGTCCAGCTGCTAAGGGGGAAAGGATGCTCCCCAGATCACAGTTGGCTGACCACCTCGCAGGTGCTCAGGCAGTGGCAACAAGGCATCCTAGCTCACGTTGAGTCCTTTGGCAGTTTACAGGTTTTAATACCCATTCCCACGTTATTTTGAGTCTCAACCACGGACGAAGAGTAAGAAGAAAAAAGCTTCCCAATGCAGGTAGGAAGGCTGATTCGTGTCCACTCAAAAGTGGAGTGAAGTAAACGATCCCAGGCCAATCGGTCTCCATGCCCCACACGAAGCCCTGGCCCAGGGCATCCGTGGGAGGCCACAGCTGTTGATCATGTTCTCCCCTCTGCCCACTTCTGTCTTTACAAGGAATCGTTCCTCTGCTTCCCATCAGCATCTCCATCCCAGGCACCCTTCCCCACCCTAGGCCAGACTTGAGGCTGCTGTCCCTGGCACCCCCTGCAGAGCTTGCCCCTTTGCCCGCCCCCCCGACTGCGCAGTCAGCATGTTCAGCAGAAATGTTCCTCGGCTAGCAGAGATCAATACATCAATAGATACGTCAGCTCGAACATAAACAGAGGGAGCTTGAGGGGAAAAGGGGCAGGCAATAAATGGACTCTGCAGAGAAAAAAAGCCAGACAGTCCCATCAGGATCCATGCTCCTGAGAACATATCACCTGCGCTGTTAAAGAAAGGGGACAGGCTCATTACTTCAGGCCCTGCTAATTAAGAATCACCATCACAGGAGGCTGAGGGAGCAGAATCACTTGAACCCAGGAGGCAGAGGTTGCAGTGAGCCCAGATTGCACCTCTGCACTCCAGCTTGGGTGACTCTGTCTCAAAAACAAACAAACAAACAATACCCCTTCAGATTGGCCTAGGCTCAATTCTGCCTTCATTCTAGGTCTGACAAGCTGGCTCACCTGAAGGCAGGCTTTTCTACACTGGCCTCACAGGAGGATTGCAGGTGGGATTCCTAGCTATTCCTTTCTTGGGGCTCCATAAGTGCTGGGAGTGGGAGCCCTCTGAGCCAAGCATGGTGCCTTGGAGCCACAAGCAGCTGGCCAATGCCCTAAGAACAGCCGTGGCCGAGCTCCGAGCAGCTTAGATGTGCAGCAAGCAGCTAGTGAAGAAGCCGAAGGGCAAGCCCTTGGATTTGGGTGCGGAACGAAAGGCCCTTAGCAAGGGCAGCAGTCCAGCTTTCCATGTCGAGACAAGTGATGGGAACTAACTCTGGCTTCAGTCAGCCTCAGGAAATCTCCAAAGGCATCTGTTCTGGAAGGCCATCAGGCCTGGTGCCCACAGCCAGCGTGGGGAGCACCTGGATGAGGTCTCCTCTGCAGAACTTTGTGGGGGTGCAGTGCAAAGGAATGCTTAGCAGGATGCCAACAGCCTACTGGCAGGGGCTCCAGGACGCTCAGTTCTGGACTCTGGGCCACAGAAACTTCTATCCTTTCCTTTAGAGATTTTGGGAGAATACGCCCGACCAAGAAGAAGCAGTTTTCAGGTTTCTTTTTTTTTTTTTGAGTTGGAGTCTCACACTCTGTAGCCCAGACTAGAGCGCAATGGCCTGCAGCCTCTGCCTCCTGGGTTCTGGTGATTCTCCTGCCTCAGCCTCCCAAGTAGCTGGGATTACAGGCATGTGCCACCACACCCAGCTAATTTTTGTGTTTTTAGTAGAGACAGGGTTTCGCCATGTTGGCCAGGCTGGTCTCAAACTCCTGACCTCAGGCGATCCGCCCACCTCAGCCTCCCAGAGTGTTGGGATTACAGACCTGAGCCACCGCGCCTGACCAGCAGTTTGCAGGTTTCTATGGCACAGCTCCTCTGAAGAGGTGAAGATCATCAGGTCTGGGGGGCTTCTCTGTCACACATTCTTTGATAGCATTTTAAAAAAGGAATTGGAGGGAGCAGACAGACCTGCTTAGCATTTTAGGGTTTGTTCATCATGGCAGGTCTTTTCCAAAGAGACCACCACGTTGCTGATTTTAATTCCTCTGGGAAATTCTCTAGAGTCCAAATTCTTATGTCGATTACGTAAAAACTCAACTGTTTTATACCTGTTACTTACGGCAAACCAGTCAAGAAATAGAGGCATCGTTGGGGCCAGGAGGTGTTGCAGAGTAAGAGAGAGGAAGGAGAAGCCGTTTTTGGGGACTGGCTGGGTAGGGTTGGACACCCAAGAGTTCAGCAGGAGGAGAATTGGGGTGTTTGGGGAGCAAGGGAAGGCCATCCCCTAAGATCCTGGCGGTGGCGTCCATGCCCCTGAAAAATCATGTTTGAAAATCTGTGATCTAGGTTAACAAAGAATTTTCCTCTCAAATATCAAGTGACCCAAGGGGCACTCTGGGTTAAATAAAAAGGAACAGCCAGGGGAATGCACCCTATGAAGACTCTGAGATTCCTGAGGCAGAGGCAGATTATGAAATTAACACCAAAGAGAGGCTTAGGGCAGCTGCTGCCCAGCTTAGTAACTAGAAGGCGTCTTCTGGGTCTTGAGGTCTTCAGACCTCTAAGTCAGCGTCAGGGGAGCAGCCTCAATTAGAGACCATAGCTCTCAGGCCCTCTGCTGAGGATGCCTGAGGTCTTTGCTGACACCTGTTCTTGAAAAGCAATGGGGATCGGGACAGTTTGAGGTTCAGGTAAATGAGCAGAGAGCAGTGAGGGGCTCTGAGCTGGATGGCCTCCTCTTTCCTCTGTGGAATCATGGGGAGAGGATGAGTGAAGAGAAAGGATGTCTGTGGGGGTAAGGAGTGGGCTTGGGAATATTTGGGATCAGTGGCCTTCAGGTCCTCCACCTTGGCCTGATGTGGAGTGGCATTTGCTTTCCCTGAGTTTCAGGCTTGCACGCAAGGAGAGGTATTCGAACATGGAGGCCCTGATGTGGTGAGGATATGATGGCAGTAGCAGGGCTGGGGACTCGCCATAAATAGCCCCAAGATGGATGGTGGCTGGGATGGGCCTGTTGATGACCTCCTTGCTCAGCCAATGATACTTACAGTACCCTACCACTCAGGGCCACTTGATTCATTGACCAGCCCTTCCACACCCATTGTCTCACTGGAGCTTTCCAAGGGTACTATGAAATGCACAAGTAGGGGTGATTGGATCTCAAGAGAGGTGACTTCTCTGGGGACACATGATGAGTCAGTGGTAGGACCAGCACTGGACCCCACCCCAGAGCTCTCAGTTCCGACCCTCTTCCTCCTCCTCCACCAAATTACAAAGGGGCAGTCCCATAGGAAGACACCCAGGTCAACCCAAGAAAGAGCCACACGAATGTGAGGGTGTCCAGAGCCCCTCTGCTTCCAGGCACCCCACCTCATTCAGACACCTTCCAAGCCCAGCTCGGAGGGCTGTGAGGGAGCCCTCTCAGCAGCAGCTACATGCCTTCACTTTTGAATTTTGCTGATTGGGAGCTTGAGGGGGTACATTTCTCCCCCCAGCACAGGACAAGAGGTACAGGCCGCTAGGAGCAATTCACATCTGCCAGTAAGTGGGGAAGAGGCTGGCTTAGCCCTTTGGGATACCTGGCCAGGCCTTGTGGAGACCCAGCTGGGCTCCTCAGAGCAGGGACAGCCCATGGGCTCCATAAACTTCGGTGACTCATGGGTGACCACGCTGATGGGGCCAGGGAGAGTCAGAAAGGCCACCTGCCCTAATCACGGCCTAAAGTCTCCGTCTGAGGACTGAGGGGTTTGCTGGCCTCCCTCTCAAGTTGGCCCACTCCACCTTGAGGGTCTTTAGGCTGCCTCCGGGTGCCCTTTGTCCTGGACTTGGTCTCCAGCCTCCAGGGCTTCCTGGATGGGAGGAGTATGAAAATGGGGAACAGCCTTCACTTAAATCTTAAATTTCAAAGTCTTCTGCTCCTAGCAAGGCTCACGGGGTGGGTTTGAGAAAGACTTTGACCTTGAAATAGGTCATCCAGAGTCCAGGTCTGGGGTTTGTCAGGTCTTGGGTCTTTGATTCGCTGCGCGTGACTTTCAGTACTCTTATATCTTCATGAAAGGCCCCTCCTAAAATTAGCTGGGCATGGTGGCAGGCGCCTGCAGTCCCAGCTACTCAGGAGGCTGAGGCAGGGGAATGGCTTGAATCCAGGAGGCGGAGGTTGCAGTGAGCCAAGATCACACCACCACATTCCAGCCTGGCGACAGAGTAAGACTGTTTCAAAAAAGAAAAAATAAAGGCCCCTCCCAGAGTTTCTGTAAGGATCAAATGAGATAATGGATGGGAAAATGCCTCATCATCTATATGGTGTGTACAATGGAAAGGGATTGTATTGTAAGGGTTTTGGGGTCCAGTGGGCGGGTGCCTTTGCAGAAGAGAACAAGCATAGCAAGGGCTGTCAAGACACCCTTACTTTCTCACCTTGAGGTGGGGAACGGGGGGCTTTCCAAATGTTGGGGGCTGCCAGGCTGGACAGGGAAATGCTCAGCATGGTTAAGATCTACTGGGTAGAGGGAAATGAACCTTCACTGGCTGCTCAGCTTCCCAGACCTTTTTACTGCTCATCATAAATTACCATCCTGTTTTATTTTCGTTTTATAGCCTCTCCCAGGCTCTTTCTGGCTATTCAGCTCTGGTCCTTCTCTTTTTCTATTGACACCTCAGGTTGCTGGCAACTGACCCAGCAGCTGGGAGGAAACATCAGAGCTGGCAGCTGAAGGGTGACAGCAAAGAATCGCGATGCCAGTGTCTGCCCTCTAGCAGCTTCCCCCAGCGGAGGGAGGGAACCAGGTACCCTGTGTTTGCATGGGCTGGCAGACTCAGCTTCTGAAGAGGAGTCACCTCTTCCTGGGACCTGAGCCTTCAATTCAGGCAGCTCTCAGGAGGTGATGACAAGTTCTTTGGTGTAGTTAGCTCTCTCTCGATGCAGTTGGTCCAAACTCCTTTCCATTGTCAACATCTTGTGGTTCTGCCACTGTGAGAAGGAGGGACCCTGCCTGGGAATCAGGAGGCTCTCGTTCTAGCCCCAGTTCTACTACCAGTGAGTGGTGCTGAGCAAGTCCCTTCCTCTCACCAGGCATCAGTTTCTCCTTCTGTAGAGTCAAAGGCCAAAGCAGGTCACCCAAATGCCTTCTGGTGTGGCCACTCTACAAGCGGTTTCCTCATCTGCACAAAACATGCAAGTACTTGTCCACAAACTGACAGATTCCCACAACAAATTAACGTCCTGCCAAGCGTCACACTCAACAGTCCTGCTTTTAATGAAATGCTGGTTTTTCAAGTGAAAGCAATGGGTTAGGGAAGACTGGCATGATGTTTGCCAGCCTTTGATAGAACGTTTTTATTGAGTTTTTTGCGTCCCAATTGAGGAGAGAGCAACATAATGGCAAAGTTTGTGTCTCCTGTCATTATTCAAATAGAAGAGAATTTTTTTGTTCAATACAATTTTTAGCGTAAATTGTCAATTACCATCCTCCCAGGTTGTGGCCTGTTTTGTGGACATGACAAGGTAAAAGATAAAGTAGCATGTGCTGAGTTTGTGATGAACAGAAGGACCCAGGTGGGGACTGGCCTTACAGCACCCACAGTGGCCGAGTTGGGGGTCTGGAGGGAGGAAAAGGGGTCTGCCTTTGCCATGCCAAATATAAGACTGTGGCAGGCCACCTACTCAAAAATATTGTGAAAAGGGTAATGCAGGACGCGGAACTAGGAGAGAGACAAGGTGGGCATCTTTCACACTGGAAGGTACTGGGGTGAAGGCAGGAGGGGAGGAGGAGAGGATGCAGGAGGAGGTGAGGGTGGTCCTTCTCTGGGCCTCAGTTTCCTCATCTGTAAAATAAGGAGTTTGGACTAGACAGGTTCTCTGCTTCACCCATCTAGCTGGCTCAGAGTGGAGAGCAGGGAAGAGGCAGGTAAGGGAAGAAGAGACCCAAGATGCATCAGAATGGGAGATCCTGGCTCGGTGGCACCCCAGAGAGCTCAGAGAGCACCCCAATAATAGAGACTGAAGCACAATCTGCATTCAAACTTGCTGAGAAACTGATTGATGCTGAAACATTGCTCCCTGGGGTTTGCTTATAAAAAGTAATTCCCTCTTCCCTCCAAGAAAGGTGCAACTGCCAGGGTGAGTCGCAGAGCTGGTGAGGACCCTCCACACTCCGGGGTGTGGCACCGCTGACCAGACAAACGCCAGTGTCATTCTTCTCAGGGCAGTGTTAAAAGTCTGTTCAACTACATTCAAATTCCCATTTCAAGTGCAGGCTCCAAAATCACATGCCAATGTGTAACCCCTTATGGCTCCATCCCCCAGAAGAAATACACAAAATACATAATTGTGCATGCGTGTGTGTGTTTAACATCGGGGGACACTAAGAAACAATAGGCTTCTCATTTTCTTCCTTGTTTTTTCTTTTGTATTCTTTAAAAGGATCATGTGCCAGGGAGTGCAATGGTGGAAAGCAGGAGAGGAAATACAGAACAAGAAGATGGTGGGAGACATTTTACAGCTTATAAAGATATGAGTACAAGTCCCTCTTTTTAAATGCCCAAAGGGTCCTACATTGAGCTTCTTAAATTCGGAATTAATGTTCTTAATGGCTACCCTGAGGCAAGGCTATATCTAGAAGAGCAATTTTTAATCATTCATGTAAAATCATCCTGCTCAGGTGCTTCCAGTGCTGTGAGCCAGGGGTTTGAACAACCCCAGACGTGCAGCTTCTAGACGGCACCTCTGGGGTGGGGTGGCTGGGCCGGGAGAACGATGGGGCTATGTTTCAGAGGAGGCCTGCTTTGGCCAAACCTTGCCCCAGCAGTAGGTCTTTACTGTGGAGGTGGCTCCCCTGTTGCTGAGCTCAAGGCTGGTCTCCTGAGTGTTGTCCATGCCCCACTGTAACTGACGGAAAGTCCAATTCTGCTATTGAGACTTCCTCCCCTTTCAGCAACCTGACTTGACCTAGCCCTTCTGGGTTTTGGCAGAGAATAATCTATTATAATAAAAAACACTGTATGGCGAATAATACCATTTTGCACTTGTGCAGCACCTCACCCGTTCCCAAAGTGCATATACATTTTTTTAGACAGAGTCAAGTCCAGATAAAACAAGCAGCTAAGGCAGTAAGTCCCATTTCCTGACAATTCTGGAAGAGAAGTTCGGTTCCCTTAGCCAGTGAAGGGGCTGAGAGAATCCCTTTGAAATGACTGGACAAAAGAATAAATGGAGGTCTGGAAGAATGAACTTACAAATAGACCATTTAATGTAAATGCAATGTGTTCAATAAAATTCAACTTAGAGTGCCAGGCACTGAGACTGCTACGAGGAATAGAAAATGAAAGAGTCTCAGCTTCCGAGGGGCACATGGTCTCGCTGGGGCAGGGGCTGGTGGTTGGACTACACACAAATTCACTCAACACACATCAGAGATTAAACTAAACCAGCGCTCCATCGTGACTCACCTACCCACTGGTCCAGACCCACTAATTCTTTCCCTGTACCTCACAGCACCCAGACCTCTGTGTGAACCCCCTGGTTCCTGAATTTCTCCGTTGCGCATGGCTCACCCCCCGCGAAATCCCCAGGGCCTTGTACTTAAAGTCCCAGATCACCCTGGTCTCTGCCTGCCCTCCTCCAACCCACCCGCGCCTTTGTACAGCAAGCCCCGAGGACTCAGTCTTTCTCGTTTTCTTTGGGAGAGGCTTGGGCTTCCCGCCTGTCCCCTGCTTCCTTGCTATTTTATAGATTTTAACTGCAGGAAAATAAAAGAGTCAACCAAAGTAGAAACATCTAGAAATGACAAGATGTGACTCTTCAAAGCTTCTGCAGGTTCTGGCCCCTGGTTTAGAGCTTCTGATTTCCTTCTGGCAGCACCACCGGGGCGGGGACCTCTGTTTCTCATAAGAAGAGGGTGGCTGGCCAAAAAAGCAAGCCTGCCCCTGCAGGGACGCCTTCCTGCCCTTCCCAGCAGGAAGCTGGCCCAGGGCTTTGAGGGGAATCATGGGGAGCTACAAGTGCTTCCTGCTTTCTGACTTCCTCCTGGTGGGGCCAAGGCCCTCCCTGTTCTCGGGGCCCTTGACACCCCTACTCTCCCAAGCCTAGTTGGCGATCCAGTAACTGGTGCCTGGTTAGCCCTCCGACAGCGCTGCAGCCCTTCCCTTGAGGAGTTAGCTCTGATTTTTACCTTGCCCAGATTCCTATCTAAGGGGTCTGAGGAGACATGCCCTACAAACCATAAATTCTCATCAGATGGGTTTTATTTGACCCTCTATATTGTGACTTAGTTTCCAACCTGACTCTGGCATAACAAGGAAGGAAATCAAAATGTTTTACCCCAAAATATATTTCCTTGCCATACCTTGAAATTGCCCTGCAAATCCTCTTGTGAGAAAAATCCACATTCTATAGAGAATCCCCTTTCCCCTTTGTTGTCCTTCCTTCCTTCCCAGATCCAAGAAATCATCAATTAAGAGCCAGGCACCCTTTTAGGTCTGATTCTCAGGCTTCATATTAGTGTTCTCTTTTATCAACATAATATGAGGGAGAACTAGATTCTCCTACTCTTGAGAGCATTGTATGTGCCTGTATCTCATTAAAGTAATAATAACAACATATTTGACCCATTTGAAAAAAATAAAATTTTTTGTTTATTAAAAAAAAAAACAACAAAAAAAACATTTTACAACCCACTCTCTGAAGCCGGCTACCTGAAAAATTCCTCTGCACCATAAAACTTGGTTCCCACAATCCTTTACCATAACCTGAACATTCCTTTCCATAATCCCAGGTCTCTAGATAAACTCAATCAATTGTCAACCAGAAAAAAATAAATGTTTAAATGTACCTATAGCCTGAAGCCCCTGCTTTGAGTTCTCACCTTTCTGAAACAACCCAATGTATTTCTTAAATGTCTTTGATGTCTCGTGCCTTCCTAAAATACATAAAACCAAGCTGAACGCCGACCACCTTGGGCACATGTTCTCAGGACCTCCTGAGGGCTGTGTCACGGCCGTGGGTGATTACCAGGCACATGTGCGTTTTAAACCTAAGGTCCTGTAACTTTTACTTCGTTTCCAACTGCTAACTAAAAATGGACTCTCTTCTTCACTCTTTCTCATATTTGGCTCAGAATAAATCTCTTTAAATATTTTACAGAGTTTGACTCTTTTTGTCAACACCCTTTAATCACCAAGGCTTCCAAGCACACCCCCATTTGGAAACCATGCCGTAATGGGGCTGAGACCCTGTCTTCAGGTGATCTGAATTGGCGCTCCTGAGAAAGCAGTCTGGGAGAGTGAACTTCCCCCCTCAAACACAAGCCTTCCTTCTCTTGCTCCCTGGCTGAGACCAAAGGACAGCCCAGACCTGCTTCCAGATCTGCCCTCCTCCGGCAGTCCCTCCAGCTGCCCTGCCACTCCGCCAGGGCCAAGCTGCACTTCCTTCCAGCCTGATACCCCTCTTTCCTGTAGGGCTGTCCCTGTCTGGCTTCTGGGTGAGCCACGTTCACCAGGGCAGAGTTCACCACCTCGGTTTCTCTGTCAATAGCTCCTCCTTCAGACCACCACAACGCACATCTGCGTTTTAAATGTCAGGCTCGCTAACTCTTGCTTCGTTTCCAACCGCTGATTAAAGACGGACTCCCCCGCTCTCCTTTCCTTTCTCAGTAGATTCCCTTATAGTTTATCATGATGATCTGTGAGAACAGTTGTCACAGATGGTTTTGGGGGGACCATTTCTGCAAGCAGGCAGACGGACTGGGGCTGACAATGAAAGCTGGGTGGTGATAAGCTCTCTATTTTAATGAATTTATACCAGTACAAAGGCGATCGCTTCCGGGCTACCTTTTGGTTGCCTCAAGAAATAGCCAATTCATGTTACATTTTTAAAAAGGTCTTTCACTATTTCAAAGGAATGATTTGGGGTTGGGGAGGGTGGTAGAGATTGGTGAGACCAGCTTCAGCCTATCAACGTCTACTTCCTGCAAGTTCCCAGTGGGGCACGGGTTAAAAGGCGGAAAGGACATTGCTTTTCACCTCCTCTCTTTCACTTCTCTGCTCCTCTCCTCAGCTTGGGGCCTGAGTGGTCAAGGGGGGCAGAGTAGGAGGGGAGGTCCCGAGGGGTGGAGGACAAGCTGGTTGTCCAAGACAGTCTGGAATGAAACAGAATATGAAGAGAAATACAGCCCACCCACTCTGTCGGGGAGAGGAGGGTGCTGGTGGAGAAACTCAGGCCTGAATTTTTCTTGAGGAAGCTAAGAAGACCCTTTGGCTTCAAGGCAGATGGAACCTGGATGGTTTAGGGGAGGAATGGGACTCGAAGGTGCGCAAAAGCTCTGGGCAGGGCTTTGATCTAACTAGTAGAAGTGAAAATAGTAGGCCTTGGCTGCTCTCTGCCCCATCTCTCTCCTGCCCAAAGTCCTCGGCCAGGCACTGTTCCTTCCTTCCAGCCCAAAGACTTGAGAAAGTAATTTCTACAGCCCCCTCCAGAGCTGTTTTCCACCCTACAGACAATCTGGAGAGTCAAGACACCTGAATTAGCTGAGACTTTCCACAGTAACTGTCAATCACTTCTCTTCAGCTCAGTCCCAGACCTCTTACAAAGCCTTGAAGGCACCATTTTCCAACACAAATACAGAGGCAAGGCGCAGCCTGCCCGCAGGGCAGGACCTGTGAAATCAGGGACATCTCGGGAAACCCTCTAAGGTGGCCCTCGCCCCTGGCATAGAAGTCTAGGAAGGCGAGGTCCCCACACACCCACCCCAGCGGCAGGGACCTCAGGAACAGAGGAACCGCCCCGCGGGCCGGCTGGTGGAGTGGGACCGTTCCTAACGGCTGCCTCGGCTGCCTCATCCTGCCTCGCGGTCTAGGCGAGGGGTCTTGGCCACCTCCTCCTGCAGCTTCGCAAATCAAGATGGACTCGCAGGAGACTACCCCCTGCGCCTGCAGAACCTCAGAATGCAGAACCACCAGGGGGTCCTGGCCCATGGCCCTGAGAGGATTGCTGCTGGGGAGATGGGAAGGAGTCCAGGAAGGTGGAGGCCCGCACCATCCACCCCTCCCCACCCAGAGCAGCGTGGCCGCCCCCCGGGGTTAACAGGGGCAGCGTGGCGCCAGGCGGGTTGAGCCGGGGAGACTGGCCGGGCGGGGTGCGGCGGAGGGCGGGGGTTGAGGACCGCCAGGTCCCTCCCCACATGCCCACGGTCCGCGCGCTGCGGCCTCAGCGTAACTGTTCTTAAAGGCTGCCTCCGTCCTGCCGCGCGCCCTTCGAGGGGTTGGAGCTGGCAGAGCCGCAACTCCCCCTCTGAGCGTGAAAACGGTCCTTAATCACCAGATGGGTCTTCGGATGGGAACGCGGGATGAAGCGGGGCCGGGAGGTGTTTTTCCGAAGGCTGGGAAACCTGGAGGGAGGCCCCCGAAGCTTCTCAGTTCCGGACCCCTTGGTCCCAAAGGGAGAGGAGGTGGGCTGGGCCTCAGCAGCGTTGCAGGCATTGCAGGAGCATCATGTTCATCAGAGCATGTTGGCATGGAGGCCGCTCAGCCCAGGGAGGCAGGATTTAGGCCCCACATGGAAAGCACGCAGTGGTGCCCACCTAGAGGCGTTAATACGGGGCAACACTTTGGGGGTGAGGATCTGACAATTTCATGCCTTTTGGAGTTGTCTTCTCAAGTCTGTAGGGTCAGCCCACAGCCTGGCTCCTGTGAAGTGAGCTTGCTGTCACTGCCTCTTCAGGGACAACTGTGAGCATCTTGAGGAGATGCTTTGGGGTTTGTGGCAGTAGGCAAAAAGGAGAATGTGTGATACCCAGAATGCACTAAAGCGTGTTCTTACAGAGCAGAAGTCAGTGGCCGCTCACCAGAGAGGGGCCTGCGGGTAGAGAAAGGCAAAAAATGGATGGGCTTCTACCAGCTTACAACACTGACAGCTCCCGTGGGGGGCAGATGCCAGCCAGGGCTATTAAATAATAACAGGAGGGGCCACCGTAGATGAGAGGCTGGAGGAGGGTGGGGAGGGGACAAGGGAGGGGACGTGCTCCAAGAAGCCACCCAGCACCAGCAGTCTTATTAGCTTTTTGCTATCAGTCCTCAGCTACATTTAGGGGACAGTTCCTGACCAGGCCATCTGTCTGTCAGCAAAGAAGTGGGGAGGAGAAGTAGTGGGGAGGAGAAGTAGTGAGGCGCAGCACCCTGCCTCAACTCAACTCCTCCCGCCCCATGCTGAACTGGCTCCCTACTAAGATACCCAGAGAAATGCTTTCATTCGCAGAGTAGAATAAACCAGAGGAAAATTGGAGTCTGAGTCTGTGTTCCAAATGTTCTAGGTACCAGGGCTTGAATCTACCAGCATGGCTCTTTGTGCTGCAGTTTTTCCATCCCGAGATGTGGAAATGAGCTCTTTCCATTGCGATATTCTCTAGCTTGACCCCAGAGGGGATAAGACAGTGTGTGAGGATAGCTTCCCACGGGAGAAAGAGCGAGTGAGAGATGGGCTCCCAGCAGGGACTGTCACGCCTCCCATCCTCTGGTGGCCTGAGAGGATCACAGGATGTCAAGGCCTTACTCCTATGGCCTTGATTCAGATTAGCTGTGGTTCAAGACTGCCTGCATGGCACATGTGGATACGTGCAAGGTCACCAAGGCAGCACTGTGCCCTTAACATTCATCTGCTTTCCCAACCTAGAGGGCAGACTCCCTATAGGGCAGGGAATGTCTCATTCCCCACTGGGCCCGCCGGTGGCTCCTGGCATGGAACTGACACATAGTTGGCATTGGCAATGCACACACTTACTAGATCTTAAAGAAGGCCAGAACCAGACCCAGAGGCACATATATAAGATCTGTATCAGCAGTGGGGTAGCGAAAGGGTGGGAAACTGAGTGACGTCTTAGAATGCATCCAAGGAAGTAGATGGATTTGAGCTTTAACTACTGGAGAATGGCGCCTGAGCAGGCCCCATTTGTTCACACTTACTGCTAATTGAATATACCTTCCAGGAATGTAAGAGCCAGCAGGAAATTCCCCTCATCCTGAACCACAAAGGGTTTCTGGATGGGCACTGATTGTCTATGGGCCATGGCTTAAGACCCCACCTCCCACAACCAAAGTATCTTCCTGCTCCCCAAAAAAATATATGGCGACTATATATCCTTGCCTGCCTAGTCAGCCTTGGTTCATTCATAAAGTAAAGGGGCCCTGAGCCTGCCTGCCCCGCCCAGAGCTTAGAGTTGAAAGGGAAACATCTTTGAGTGGAAACCAAGCACATGGATTAAATGGTCCTGATGGTGCATAGAGCCTTAGGTTTGGAAAGAAGCGAAGGGCCTGCCACCTTGCTGGGGACTTGAGCCTCTCAGCTGTTGGAGCTCTCTGCAGCTGCCCCCTCCCCAGGGGCAATGGGCCCTTGCTGGCCTGCAGGCCCCTCCTTCCCTGGATGCTGTGCTGTTCTCTGCTTGGTCTTGTTTCATTAGCTGTGGCAGAACCTTTGGTCCTGACAAGGCCCAGGAAACAGAGCCTAGCAAGGGCCTGAGGCAACTAGGTGCCCCAGAACCACAGGAACTCACGTGTGCTGTGAGGGCTTTAAGAGCTTTGAAGTGGGGAGTCTCCCACAGGGATCAGGGCCGTGGGTGCTGATGCTGTCAGTGACCCACATGCAAAGGTTGGGTCACTATGACTGCTTCTCAGACCCTCTTCAGAGGCAGACTTTCCCTCGCCTGTCCAGCCAAGCTCCCTTTGGGCAGAAGGACCTACGGAGCTTTCCCTGGCCCAGGTGGCACAGGCCCTGGCCCACACTCAGACGATGGTCCCTTGCTCTGCCCACTGAAAGAGATCCCCGAAAGATAAGCTCTGTTCCAAGCAGGGCAGACAAGGAATAGTGGGATTAGGGCTCCAAAACCCTCTGGTACTGTCAGAGAATTCTGGATAGTGGTCTCTGAGAGCATCCATGTGAGGGGCTGGGGACAGGAGCCCTTCTCACAGGCACCTCTGCAGGTGGGATTGATGACTGCCAAATACTGGCTGAGGCCAAGGGAGACTCTGTCATGTCTGAGGCCACAGGCATGGTTTCCTCTGGACTTTAGCGAGAGGCAGAGCCCCCCAGCCCCAGACACCTCGGCTCTGCCCGGGAAGAAGTGAGGGAAGCACATTCCTCCCCATGAGTTGGCCTCTGAGGAGGCCAAGTCAAGTATGTGATAGAGGGTTCCCTACCTGTGCCGCAGGGAAAATGGAGCTTGAGGGTCAGCTATCTGAAGGCATGATTCCTGGTATGACTCCTATGAGCCCAAGTTACCTATTCCTGCACAGAAATGCTCCCTGGCCTCATCCTGTGGGTGGCAAAACCACATATCCAGTTATTGCTGTTTTCGTCCTTCCTTGGATACTTGTCTCTAATAAATATTTACAGTGGGACCCACAGACGAACGTTAGTCCCAAAGGTTAAGACAGCGAGAAATTCATCTGAAAAGGGGTCCTGGGCAGGGCTACCCTAGAGGGGTCAGGCAGAAAACAAAAGCGAGCCTCTGGGCTACCTCCTCCCTCAGCGATCTGCGTAAAGATGGGCTTGCAGGAGGAGACCACACTTTACAACTGCAGAACCTCATGATACGGAACCACCAGGGGCTCTTGGCCCATGGCCCTGGGTGGAGTCGATGTTGGAGAGATGAGATTAGTAGTGGGGCGCATCCCCCTGCTATGACTTACCTTCTCCGGCCCCATGCCTGTCCGTCAGACCCTCTCCCTGCTGCGCCAGAGCCACTGAGTTCGGGGAGCAACTGCCGGCAGATGAAATTAGGCAGTGGTTAAGTGTGGGAAGTCCCTGTGGACTTCCAAAAGCCCTTTGGTTTCTGCCCTGCTTGGCATGGTTCCAGAACCCAGGGTGGCGGTGAGGTGGGAGCTAGCAGAGGGCAGGGAAGAAGTTTCAGGATCAAAGCTCACCTTTCCTTTCTTCTTCCTAATCAGCCGGAAAACCACGAAGGCACGGGCTTGGCCGCCTCCCAGACTACATTCTTTGCCTGTTTGGATCATTTGCTGCCCCGTGTGTTCCAAGCTGCCCCGCACTTCACAGGCTGCTTGGAACCCCTCCCTGTCCACCCAGTGAGGAGCACCCCTGGGGAGAGGCAGAGGAGGGGAGGCTTTTAGTCTTGCAGCCCTTGTTTGTTTTAAATGTCAGGCTGACTTCTTCTCAATGCCAGAACTATTTTAATGGCATGGCTTTACCAAACGAGACTCAAAGCCTGGAAGGACATGGCCAGATCTTACTCAGTGATCAGTTTAGTCCATCCTGAGGACGGACGTCAGAAGGAAAGATTCTTTCGCCAGATCAGATTGGACTTATGCAGAATAAATTAAAACACCAAGAGAGGCAGGCACTCAGGCCAGGATGGGGAGGGGCTAAAGAGCAGGCAGCAAGCTGGGGGCGAGCTGGGGATCTGGGCAACACAGGCTTGTAGGAGTACAGGCTTCCAGTGGCAGGGAAATTGGGTTTGTAGTAAAGACTTAAACCTGTTAAAATAAATTGGTTAGCAAAAGATCTCTGCTCAGCACTCTTTAAACTCAAAACAGCTGTTCCTAGTAAATAATCACATAGCAGATATTAAGTAGGAGGCTTAAAAGGAGGAGATGGTGTTATACCAGATCGAGTACAAAAAATTAACACCAAGACAAAAGTAGGCCAAATTTCATTGCCGGCGGCCACGGAGGACTCACGTCTCTCCAACCCATGGCCCCGAGCTCAGGGGGAGCAGGGTTTTTAAACTGAAAAACCACATCATGGTTTTAGGTCCAAGGGGGGGAGGG